GTATTTTATACACATGGCCACGTGATCAGGTCCTCTGTACCTTGAACCTATTTACAAGGCAGAAACTCAGAATAACTGTTTTCAATCTTCACTTTTTCTAATAGAGAAAACTGAGGCTAGATAAACTACCTGACCCAAAGTCATAGCTAGTTAAGGAAACTCACTTGATTTAAACCCGGGAAGTCTGACTCTAGACTCCATTACAAATATATCTCTTCCTAATTTTTAAGCCAGATCCTGTTTTGGAATTCTTGCAAAATGTAAGCTCCAAACTGTACGAGCAAAATGTAATCTTCGTGAGAGTGAAATGTAAACTGCATCAAGTTTGCTTTATGTACTTTTGTGTTCTCACCACCTGCTATCGGGCTTGGTTTGGTGGGAGCCTGGGGTGGGAGGGGGGTTCCTGCTGCTGTAGCACAGTACCTTTGACTTGATCATGCATAAATAATAGAAATTTATACCATATGGTTCTGGAGGCTGGGGAATCCAAGATCAAGGTGCCCGCAAATTTGGTGTCCAGTAGGCGCCTGCGTTTTGATTCCAAGATGGCACCTTCTTGCTGCAGCCTCTCACAGTGAAAAAGCAAAAAAGGGTTCAGATGCAGCGCTCTCACGTGGAGGAGGAGACAGAAGGGCCAGGAATCTCGCTAAAGGCTCCTTTACAAAGGAATTAGTCCCTTTTATGAAGTCTCCCCATCCTCAGTTTCCAGAAGACCCCACCTCTTAATACTAGCACAATGGAGATTAAGTTGCACAATGAATTTCGGAGAGATACAAACATTCAGCTCCTAGAAACTGTCGTCTCCCTTTCCTGATTCCCTGTGACAGAAACTGTCTTCTCCTTCCATACATGGCAGTCTGAGCCCATCTACACTCGCAGGCTCCAGACCCGAGGAAGGAAAGGCTGTGAGAAGAGAGACAGCAGTTCCCTCCTGGCAGTCCTGGCTTCTCAGTCCCAGATCTCTATCTTGGGATGTGAACTAGACAGTGAAACATTTGAAAACATAATGCTGAAGGAAAATAAACTGTGTTATATAGACTAATGACTCCACTTCTAACGTCTAAAAATGATAAATTTCTCAGTTGTCTACCCCTTTAAATTCTTGTCTTACTACATAAGTTTCTGTGATTTAATTTTCCTGGAAACTTATTATTCATCTACCCAGTAACCTTTATGTCCCATTAACAATTTGATTGCCCTTTCTCCTCGGAATTTGGGAGCATTGTTTCCTTAGCACGATGGAGTTTGGGGAGAGGCAAGAAGGCAAGCAGAGAGCTCTAGAAACTATGAAAAATGATATTGCAGTCGTAACGACTCATTATTTGTTTTTAAGCTTGATCTTTCTGAAGGTTATTATCTGGAGTTGAATGCTAATGGATTCAGGCTCTCTTTATGCAGAAGAAAGCTTAAACAACAGTGCTCACAGGGAAGGACATTAATCAGGAGAGAGAAGTGAGCCTTGCTCCTAATAATGTTTGCATAATAGCTACCCTTGGGTGGAATGCTTGACTTAAAAATAAATATTCATATTCTCCACATCCAGTACAATGGGAAATTATTTGTGGTTATGATTCTGTTCTCTGATCCTATAGCTATTCGTGAGGACTTCAAACTGGGAGACTGTTGGAAAGCAACAAACATAAATTATAATGCTTGCCACTGACATGGGGTGGAAGTTGAAAGAGGCTTAATGGTGGCTATTTGGAGAAAACAAGCAAGGAACAGGACATAACTCTGTTTCCAGAAGGGGAGAGCATAATCACACTGGTGTGCTTAAGCACATTTATATGCTCCCTTGATTTACTTATAGCTCTTCAATAGCTTCTCATCACCATCAGGATAAAATTCAAGTGCCTTATCACGGCCTAAGAGGGACTCACTGGAGTGGTCCCTGCGGAACTCCACAGCACAGCACCTGAGACGAATCTCCACCCCAGGTGTGACAGTGCTCTCCGAAGGTTCCCAGACACTGTGAACCATGTCTTAATTCCCATGTCTTTGTCCATTACCTTCCTTCGTCTTCCAGAGATTTTCTGCACATTCTTTACCAGTTAATTCTGCTTATTATAGAGGCTTACACTTTACCTGGCTTCAGAAGCCCTCTCTGAACTCCACATCCAGCCAATAAGTTTTAAACCAGCCTCTCCCATGTTTATTATTTATTTAGTGGTCCTTAAACAGACTCTGTCTCCAAGAATTCTTGCATCATCTTAATTTATTTCTTATTTGTACCAGATTTTATTCCATAAGTGCTTTAAGTTAATGAATTCATTTTTCTGTCTCTTCATTTTCCTGTCTCTCTCTCTCTCTCTCTTCCTTCCTGTTCCCCTCAATCTTGTTTTTTTTATTCTCTCTCTCTTTTTTCTAACTTTTAATTCTGAGAACTGTTTCACTGTGGTTTTGGAAACACAGACGGTGCTGCTGCTTTTGAACTTCTGTGTGAATTACAAGGCTTTGTATTAACTTCCTCCTCATGCAATTTCCCTAACCTGATTTCTTTTTAATGATGGGTCATCTGCTTCAGACCAGAGAACATGTCACAGCATAGAATCTAACCTGTTTCTCCCAGACCCATGACTGCCCATGCCGTTGTCCCTCCGTGTCCCCTGGAATTGTTTCCAGGAACCCCTCCAGATACCAAAATCCAAGGATGGTCAAGTGCATAGTATAAAATGGTGTGAACTTTGCATATGACCTCCCACATGTTTTAAAGCATGTTTAGACTACTTATAATGCTTGAATGCAATCCCAATCCTATGTCAATAGTTGCTGTAGTGTCTTTTTATTTATATTATTTTAATATCATATTATTATCCTTATTGGTGTTTTTTTGCCAAAGATTGTTCACCTGAGTTTGGTTGAATCTGTGGATGCAGAACCCAAGGATAGGGAGGCCCAGCTGCACTTTCTCCAGCCTCTCGTTTTCCTTCCTCCGACGTGGGATTCATGTCTTGGGAATAAATTTCACCCCATCAGTTTCGTCAGTTTCTTTATCTACGCTGTCATCTGATGGGTACATATTTACAGAGATGTGTCTGTTCAACTTCACATGACACTTTGACCCCTATGGGTAGAATCATGAAATGTCCACAAGTCGTCTTCACATACTTATGTACAATCGCAAAGATATTGAAAACTACTTCTGCTTATAAAACATATCTAAAAAGTGTAAAGTGCTTTTTAAAATTTTATCCTCATTACAAAGACGTAAGTAATGTAGGTGTTAACTTCACTTGAAAATGAAATACTTTGTCCAAAAAGATTGAATAACTTTCTAAATGTAAGTTTCCAGTAAATTGCAGGGTTGAGAATTAGACTTAGTCTACAGGCTGTTTGACACCCTGTAAAGCTGACCACGGGATTCCCTGTCCACAGGCCTGGGGGGCCTAGCAGAGCTGTTTGCTCGGTGAGCTCACCAAGGCACTGGACAGGGGCTGGGGCCAGACATGGGGCAGGAGTTACAGTGCTCACTGGTCTGTGTGGCTCAGTGCCCCAGAGAGTCCCTTCACTCTGACTCTCACTCCAAACCTCATGTAGGCCAGCGTGTTCCAGTAGGCTCTTTTGACACACGCTGTTTAATAATTCCCTGTTATTTTCGTCTGTCTGCTTTTCTTGCTTTTTCTGCCTTCACTCTCTCCTCAGGCAGTTCAGCAGCTAATTGCTTTGCACTGACCATGTGCAAAGCTTGGTGTTAGGACGCACAGGGGATGGAAAGAGTGTGTCACTAACAGCTTGTCACTTTCCTCTCTCTCTTTTCTGCATTCTTCAGTCCTGCCTCTTCCTTCCTCCCAAGTCTGAGTAGCCCTCCTCATCTCTGTACATTTGCACAGCTTCTGCTTTGGTCAAAGCGAAGGCACTCAGCCCGGGTCTCACAAGAGCATGGAACCTGCTTATGGCGCATCGTAAATGCTCAACATAAATCTTTGAGGGTTTTGTTCAGTGCCCTCCAGGGACTTTGAGGCACAACACTGCCCTTCCATCTCACTCTCTATGAAAGACTATTCAAATAAGAGTAAAATGTCACTTTGCAAAACATGTTTAAATTATTTTTCTTCTAAAACCTTGTGACTCTAAAGCCTTAAAATAATCCATTTTTTAGTAGCTTCAAAATCAAGGTATTCCTCCAAAAGGACCATTTCCAACTTGATGCCAATAGTTGCCTTTAGGAATCGTGATTGCCGCTGGCCACCCCTATGTTCTAATTGCCCTTTCTCAGTCATATTTTCTCATTCTTCCACATCCCTCATGGCATGCATGAACCGTTAGACTCTTTTCTTCTTTCCCCCAATGCTACATATCAATTTATCTGTTTTCTTTCACTTTCTTTCTGTAAGAGTCTCCAATGAATTAGACACCAAACACATGATCATGTTCTCTGGAATGTAATTACAAATAGATTTCTTTCCTCTTTGCTGTCTCTGGTCCTCTTAATATTTGTGGCAGCAGATAACTCTTTATCATTACAGAACACACAAACAAAAATACTGATGATTTTTAAACCCCAGGGGAGCAAAGTAGAAGGAACTAGAAAGAAGAAAGCCGGTGTCCTCATGATTAGGCACCCCTCACAAGAGTGGCTGGATCAGGGACATTCAGAAGACTTCACGGCTCCTTTTAACCCTCCTACAAGGTTTAAATGTGCTCTTTGACAAATGTGGAAACTGAGGCTCAGAGGAGTTAAATGATTCACCCAGTGTCCCACAGCTTTAAGTGTCAGAGCTAGGTTTTGAACCCAATCTGCGTGACTTCAAATTTCACGATATCTTTTCTGTGCCAGGACTGGTGGGGGGATACACAGGCTCTAGAAAGATGTATGGGATGGGCACCTGGGCAGGGAAGGGCTGGAACGGGGGCCTTAGTCTGCTTGACCAAGTTTGTCTCCTTCCCTGGTTTCTCCCCCAAATGTAGATTAGTTCTCCAAAATATGGATCCAACCTTTTGTAGCATTTTAATGAGAGGGGTCTTCTACTAATGGGACATCTCTCTTTTGTCTTTCACAGCAATTTTGCAGGCAGTAATAGCTGGTGATCTTATGAAGGTAAGATATCCTTCTACCAAAACTCGGGTGATTCTTTAAGACCGTTGTATCAGTATCATTCTCTCGCCAAATTTTTATGTTCTCGTATATCATTGATTGCTCACCCCCACCTCCACTGGTAGAGTAGAAGAGGAAGGATGCTCTTTTGAGAACTGAGCAGGGAAGAAGAGGGAAGAGGAGCTCTGCATTTCATAACAGCAAAGGGAGGGGATGAGAGAACCATGGTATTTGCCTATATTGGTTAAAATGGACTGCATGCCCACAGGACGCAGTGCGCACACGACCCCGAGTTCCTGCTCTCTGAAAGCTGACATTTGAAGAATTTAAAGATTTCTTTTTAGATTTCTCAGAGAGCATTAAAGTGATTGCATCTGTAAGAATTACCTGGATAGCAACTTCCAAGAATGCAATTTAGGACAGAGCTTACACATCCGTTGTTATAGTTTTATCCTTGGACGAGCACAGTTAATCAAAAGTAATTCCTCTGTCTCATCTACTTTGAACACTTTAATTCGTGCTAATATTTCCTGGTGAATTTAGTTCAGAAGGAATTGGCCACCCTCTCACCACCACCTCAACAGTGGACATAAATTCTGAGGTCAGATTGCCTGAACGCAGATCTTGGCTTGGCCGTTCACTCTATGTGTGATTTTTGTGCAATTGTTTAAGTCTCTCTGTGCCTCAGTTTCTTTGTTTGTCAAGTAGGATGATATTACCTCTGTCTTCGGTTTTTTTTATTAAGAGTGAATTTAATAATAGATGGGAAGCTATTGAGACTATTCCTATTATGTAGAAGGGGCTCTAAAATGTTAGCTATTTTATTCATACTATTATAGTGTTAATCTGTTTTTTTTAAACAGGTAAACATGGTAAAAATACAAATGTTTGTTATTAAGGACACGTCGTCTATGAGTGTTCTAAAACCATGCTTGGTCCCATACTTCCAGACATCCCTGCAGGACCCCCCACCCCCCGCCCGGCATTGATCTGCCCTGTAACGATGCTGACTACTTAAGGGCCACGCTCCACCTCGCTGCTCAGTCCATGGAGTCAGGTGCCAAAATCCTTAAAAGACAGCTGAGAAGTAATATCTCCCCCCCACCTTTTTAAGTTCATTTGTTGGATAAACTAAGCAGCATTTGTATTATATTTGTAACAGGTTGTTAGAAGGAAACAAATGGTGGGAAGGTTGCAAACATCTTGATTAACTGTCACCTGTAGATACATCATTCTGAAAATAGTAGCTGTGTCACTGTGCAGATGGCAGGGCCACCAGGAGTTCTTAAGCAGCAAGGGGAAGTGCTTTCTAAGTACACCAATGATTTCAGTGCCATTTCCCACCAGTGGATTAACCAACACCATCCATTCTGTCCCTGCAAGCTCTTATGTTAGGTCCTATGGGAAGTGCAGGCATGACTGAGACTGATCCCTGCCCTGGAGAGCTTCCAAGCCAGAACATTTTGTAAAGCACTGTCCATTTGAAACCATCTCATTTTATTTTCTATATGCTTTTAGTTTAGGCAACTATTTCGCAGATTCCTGGGCATATTATCACACCTTTTGCGGGGGGCGGGGGGGATACCTGCAAGAAGATTATTAGAATTACTGTCTTATTGGAGTCTCTGTTATTATCATTTCCTGAATGACTAAGCAATGACTTACACCGTATTTACTGAGAGGTGAAATATAGAGGCTTAAGTCTTTTCTCTCTTGTATTATTTTCTGTCTTTTCCTTCCCAAGTACTTTTTCCCCTCTTTCTCTTCTCCATCTTCTTTCACTTCCTTCTTCTGTGTAGAAAGCATCTATGTATTAAATATTAAACAAACTGCACGTGTGTGGTGTTTGGAGGAGGCGAGGCTAGAGAGGAGAAGCTCCCAGGAGCCCCTCGGCCCCCTGGGAAGGCTCTCAGGAGTAGCTCCTGGACAGCTGGGCTGACAGGGTACCGGGGGCGACCTTAATGCTCCTGGTGTCTAACAGCAGCCCAGCAAGGGAGGATGGAGGCAGCTGAGGCTGATTCCGTGTACGCCGATATCCTTTGTCGATCAACCCACAAAGAGAGGGATTATTACTGAGCGGCAAAGCGATTGACCAGAACAGGATTCTCTTTGACTTTGTGCAAGTTGTTCGCTGCTCCTTCCTGTCGTCTTGCCTTGCAGTTCAGGGGTGAAGTCTGGTGCATTCTGCTACTTCTCCTGATCTATATCCTGGGCGGGCTTCTGTGGCTCCTTTTCCATCCCTTGCTTTCCATTCCCCGGTGTCCTTCTGAGAACGTGGTGGCATTTCTCTCCATTCCCGTGTAATCCTGAGGACTGGGAGGGCTTTGAGGCCGGCGACTGCATCACGCTCATCTTTGTCTCCCTGGCTTCTGGCACGTGAATGCGTTTGAATGAAAGCATGAATTTTGAGTTGACTCTCCTTTATTTATTTGTTTTAATTTATTAAATCTGACCCTCCTTTTTAATTTTGTTTTTTAACTGACAAATAATAATTCTACATATTTATGGGGAACGTAGTGATGTTTCGAGACCTGCAGTCTTTTTGGTGATCGGGTCAGGGGAATTATCATATTCATCATCTCAGGCATTTCTCATTTCTTGGGAATGTTGGGAACATTTAATTTCCTCCTCCCACTATGTGAAACTATATATTATTTCTAACCATAGTCTTCCTACAGTGGTACGTAACACGATAATTCATGCTTTGAGTTTCTCCTCTTTCATTTTACGAGCTGTCTGATTATGTATAATGTGTGCCCTCCAACATCTTGAGATAGAATGTGGTCTTTCTGCTTATTGCCTGCTGGGTTATTCTTATTTATCTGAAAACTACCTTTTCGACGCTTCACAGAGGCTCTTTTGTCCTGATATAGCACAGTTTGGAGAAGAGGGACTCATTTACACTTTATATAATGTACAATAATTCATGTCCTCATTTAGCCACCATATTCTCAGGCTGCAAAATTCTGTGTTTTTTCCCAGTCTTTTCTCACCTAGAAACTATTTCATTCTTTGAATCATCTTGGTTCTCATTCTTCAGATCATCTCTAGCCTTGTTAGGTAGGTGTCGGGTGGGGAACAGAAGGCTTGCAGGCTGGGCTCCAGATCCGGGTGGAAAAGGATCTCTAGCTGTGTGTGCATGTGTGCGGACGCCGGATGCAGTGATCTTACACAGGAGACGGAGAAGCAGCATCATATTTGGGAGTTAGGTTCATTAGAGGCTGAGGAAACATGAAAGGGCACAGGCAAAGGTCCTGGCTACCAGACACCAAGCTATTCCTGCTCATAGTCGTAGTTATTCCTTCACTCGCCCCAACACAGGGAAGCTTTGGTTCTTGTCTCTGCCTTGAGACAGAGACTTGTGCTCAGAAAAGAAAAAGTAATTCAGCATGATTTAGCTTCTTTAGGCTGTTCGGTACCCACAGGCCCTCCCCAGAGTCAGGGGAGACGCTGGCCGTCTCTGAGTAATGACACAGTCCAGGAATGTCGCTTCATCTCTTTTTGACTTTCCTCTGTGTCTTCTGAGGTTGGAAACATTTGTGGTTTGCTACATTACTCTTATGTTATTACCGGTTAGCTGTTATCCTTGTACCGGATTCCGCCTGAACTTATTTTCATGTGTCTCTCTTGCAGCTAATAGAAAGCTATAAAAATGGAGGCAGTCTGCTCATTCAGGGACCAGATCACTGTTCACTCCTTCACTACGCAGCTAAAACCGGCAATGGGGAGATTGTGAAATATATCCTTGACCACGGTGAGTAAGCACGATGAACTTACCAAGGATCACTTCTCCATGAAATAGATTCCATGCACTCAGTGGCCTTTCATCTAAGATGTCTTCAGGGTGGCAGAAACACTGCCCACCTGCTGTGGTTACAGACCTGAACACACCACTTAGCAACAAATAGAGATGGTTTTTATAGTGAGCTCTTGGTAGGCTATGTGTTTGGCTATTTAATTTAAATAATAAAGGACTAAAACAAATGCAACCCAGTATAACGCACTTTCTTTTGCCAAAGCTTTTCTTCGAGAATTAACTGGTTGAGATCAACTATGTAATCTATATTTATATTTCATCATTCTAGGGATTAATGACCATAATGTTTTCCATCGTTCTGCTTTCTCCTATTTTTTTTTTTTTTTGCTGTTTGAATCACATTTGTGTTTTCAACCCAGGTCACACTTTATTGTTTTTGAAACTGTTTGGTACTTTGTGTCCCCTGTGACTGGTCACTGGTCACACCTCCCAGACCTCTTCCTAACTGGGTTTCTAATTTGCTGTTAGATGTTGTGGCATCATCCTCTAAAAGCCCTTTAAGAAGAATAAACACACGATGAGTACCAAGTATGGACTATTACATCCAGTTTCTCATGTGTATAGTGTTTCTAGGAATAAAGAACAGGAATACAGGGGAAATCTGCCAGGCTTTGCTAATTGTAAGTGAGACGAAGTGGACAAGCCCAACTCTGCTGGACACAGGTACACGGAGATTCTGGGGGACTTTCTTTGAGCCCCAACAGTGAATGTGTGGCCTACTCTTTTTGTACCCCAGTTGAGGCTGTAGATAGGGAGTATATTAGCAAAGAGTCATGTATTTTTTCTTCTCTTTTTATACAATTTATCAAACGTCTTACACCCTTCCTTCATTCACCCATTCCACAAATATTTGTGGAATGTTTACCAGGGACTGCTGCTGGGTATAGACAGTCACATAATGCCCACAAATAAAATGTCATCATTGTTTTCAAGCAATTGCAGGCTAAAGAAAAAATATGATCATGTGCACAAATAAATTTAAAACAGATACAGGCAGATGTTTCAAGTCCTGTGGTAAAGCCACGTACAGAGGACCTGCTACCATTTATCAAAATGTATTATTTGTCAAATGCTTGTACTAAACACATCCTTTGTTTAATCTTCGCAAGGACCATATGACATTGGTATTAGACTCAATCGCATTCAACCGCCCTTGTCGTCAATATCTTCTCACTATGAAGAGTTTGCTTGAACCCTGGGCCTAGATTATGGTGAAAAGAGTGGTTTAGGAAAAGGGAAGCTCATAAAAGCAGGGTGGTCGTGATCAGACGACTTCTTTTCCCCATAGGCTGGGGTGGATAATCCCAAGCCCGTCTGCTCTGGGAAACCTAAATAAGTGAGATGTGCTTATTTGGTGCTGAGTCTGGGGCTTGCACCTGCACTTCTTACTCCCCTGACTATCCCACCCCCGTAGGGAAAAACTTACCTCTTTGAGCGAGACTTGGAAGCAATAGTAACATAGTTTCTGCTCGCCCCCTACACACACACACACCATAGGTTTATTCTGTTCCCCATGATGATGTCTAGCACCCTGGACAATGGATAAGCCACTGTGGGTCTATGTTATTTTTCCCATAATATGAAAAATCTCAGGATTCCGACTGCACAAGGTTCCGACGAGCACTGGATATGCATGCACGTTTTACTTCAGCTAGGTTTTAAAGTACTGTTCCTACTTGAACATTCCCAGTTCTTTCTCTCTAGTTAACCCCTCACTCAATGAGGCAGAAAGTTTCCCCACATACCTTAACCCATTCGATAGTCATCTACTCTCTCTGGAGTCAGGGGAGACACCTGCCATCCATTTGAGTGGTCATGCAACCCAGGCAAACCTCTCCCTCTCTTTACCTTTCCTAAAGAGGCAGCCTTCTCCCCCCTGCGCCCAGTTCTAGGCCCCTCTCTGTGTTCGCTGTCTCTCTCGGTCTCACTTAGGAGCCTGCAGTCAGCTCCCATTTCCACAAGGCTGTGTGGAAGATGGGCTCTCATGTGTTTGAGACTCTCAGCTCAAAGGCCAGGGCACCTGAGCCTTTCTCTACACCTGACCTTTTGTCCCAAGCATTATGCTCCTAGGGTTACTGGAGGTGAGAATAGAAGCTGGCGGATGTCCTGAGCTAGTCTGGGAAGTTCACTATCTCCACTTACCTTCTATTGGCTAAAATAAATCGCAGGGCCCTCCCAGGCTCCAAGGGTGAGGAAATAGACTCTATCGGTTGATGGAATGAGCTGTGTTCATTTGTGTCCAGATTTAATCTACCATGTTCCCTAACTTTCTATTCTCTTTAATGTAAAATGAGGATCCTACCCTTGCAATGTCCTGAAGTTTTAACTCTCCCGAAATCCCTGAGAGTTCTGCTTTTCTGTTTTTCTTTGGTTTGGATTCTAAGCTGAGATCCAGATTTAGCAAATAAAAATACAGGGCAATAACTTTTTTTTTTTAAGCATATGCAGGTCCTGTACAGTATCTGTGACATACCTATATACTAAAACAAAACCTCCTGCTTAGCTGAATCTTCCTCAGGGACATGAATGGTGTGGGGTTATCTTCCTCTAATACTGAGGCTTTTCACTTTCCCTGGGTTTTCTCTTTCCTCTAATAGAGACTTTAAAATCACCTTTAACCAGAGGTCAAAGAACTTGGAATTTCTAATCCAGTGGTTTTCAACCCTCCTAATGCTGAGATGTATTTTCGTTGTTACAAAGGAGTCATGACCACAGTTTGAGAACCGCTGTTCTAATCCCAAATGCAGATCAGTATACACATGATAATACTTTGCCTGGCATCAAAAGCAACTGGCACTTCAGTCTTTGAGAGATTTGACCAGAATGATACAAATGAGTAGTTTCTCATCAATCTGCATTCTCTTGCAAAGGCTGAGTCATACAGTACCACTCTGCCAGAACAGAAGGACACAAAGGAATGTATTCTTTCAGGGAAGGGGGTATTTTCCCAGTGTTTTGGTTAGATTTTATAAAGTAATTGGCATAATATTTATGCTCATGAGAGAAAAAAAATCAAGATTTATAGTGATTATCCTAACTTTACTCCCAGGCAAACAGTTCCTAAGTTCCTAAGGTCTCAGGAAGTATCCTATCCCCTCCCTGCCCCACCAGGGTCTCTAATTGCCCAGTAGGTATCTGGGAGAAGGAGAGTGGAGATAGTAGACTAAGCATAATCCACCTCTTCTGTTTGAAAATAAAATTGTATTATGATCTTTAGTCCAAGGATCATTGCATTTTTGATTGGCAATTTTTAACACTTTACTGCTGTAGCTGAATAATAGAAACTCAAATGCAATTGATTTTTATTGAAATTAGTTTTTATCAACTTGATAGATATTATCAATTTAATTCTTGACATCCATCTCATCATTTGCATTTATTCAGGAATATGGATGTCAAATCTTCTGTGAGAGCATAATTCACCTTGTTCTGGAAAAGCCACGCACTTCAGTTGAATTGTTTGGTTGTTTTTAATATCTTTAGTTGCTGATTTAGTTTATTTTAACCTTTGTACTTTGGAACTGAAAACTGTCTTTGCAGAACAATATGTATATTTTTAAATTATAGAAACTCTTTTAAATTATAGTGGTCTCAGAAAATATTACCCTTTCTCTACTCTGTGATCACCTTGTTTTTTTGCATTTTTTGGCTGGGGCTGAGTTTGAACCCGCCACAGGTATCACCCTTTAATCACCCTGTTAATTTGATCCCTGTTGATTGCATTAGTCTCTCCTAACTCCTAACATAGTTAGGATGATAACTCTGGAATTCCTCTGGCTTGAAAGGGAAAATAAACAGCCTTTTCTAAGAGGCCTCCGTGAGGATGGAGTTTGAGGATGTACTCAGGATTATGGCATTGTATTCATAAATTAGCATCAGATTTGCAGTAGTAAAAAAAAGTCAGTTAAAATTCATGTAAATGAAAAAAATAAAGAAAATGTGTGCGCTATGCCAAACATCAAGGAAGACATCCCTCCTAATCACTGAATGCTGCAAATCTCTTCGAGTTTTAATTATCTATTTTTACAATTTGGTTTAAATCCATCCTGTGACTTCATAGAATATATATCTGAGAAATTGTTCAATGACCTGTGATGGTAAAGATGCTTTTAATAGCAACAGTTCTGAGGATCCACAGCTCTTTTCAGGGTGCACGGGGATGAGGTCTGTGGCTCCCCGGCTGATCCTTCCGTTGCAGACTGCGCCCTTCCTCCTCTGGGCCCTTTCTCTTCCCTTTTGCCCTCTTCACATTGGCTACTTATGGTGAGGAGTGTGGGCCTCCCTCAGGAAGACACCTCCTGCACAGGAGTCCTGAGCGATCTTGTTCTTCCAGACACACCGACCAGCCATTGATTTCTCCTCTAAGGGCTCTTTTAAAAGCTGTCTGGGGACTTGGTGACGTGAGATGTGTGGTGTGTTCTGAACTCCGGGAGGCCTGGGTTTCTCTCATCCTGCATCCTCTTCCTTTGGACTTCTCCTCTCTTACATACAGCACGCTGCTTTCCTTTATGAAAAACTGGAATTTGAGCATTTAGAGGATTGAAAAGAGACACAAGGTGAAGGAAGAAAGTGAACAATTCCACAGAGACAGGCAGAGACTACGGGGAGAGGGGATTCCAGCTGATTCCCCTCTGTGGTTCCCCCTTTTCAGCTCCTTTCAACCATATTTCCCCACTCCCTCCCCCTTAGTTTACCCCTCCCAGGGACCCTCCTATTGCTTTGTGTCTTCACCACCCTGCACATTTGGCTCTTTTGTTTTTATTCTCCCCTTGCCTACCCCAGGCCTCCTGCTGTTTTTCCTGATAGAAATCTCACTCAGGCATTTCCTTTCTGATTTCAATGGGTTATTTTGTCTTCCCTCTTTTTCTGCCTTGTCTTTCTTTTCTTTTCTTTTTTTTTTTAGCCCCCTTCTTTTCTGCCTCTGGTCTCAGAGAGAAGGAACCACCGTCCTGCTGGGACAGATGACAGTGCTGTGAGCATTCCCAGTGCCAGCTCTCCCCACATCTGTGCAGCCTTTGTCCCGTGGCAGAGGAGGATTTGGAATGGTCTGCTGGCAGCGCCAGGGAGACTAATGGGAAATGAGGTCCTGACAGAGAGGCCATGGGAGGTGGGAGGATCAGCAAAGGGGATTTGGACACATGGGTGTGGGAAGCAAGTTAAAGGACGCATGTTACAAAGGACACATCATATAAAATACAAATGCAATACTGATGGCAGCGTCGCAGCAGCACGAGCTAGGGCACCTACGGGCAGCCAGGCTGGGACTTGGAAAGCTCAGCTGCTCAGCACGGTGTTCGTTTTCTCATTCTGAATGATCTGTAAAGTGGCTTCTTGTCACAGTTCCTGGGCTCCATGTGAATACTGATGGACTTGTCTTCTTCACAGAGTTTAACTTTTTTTTATTTTTTGAGACAGAGTCTCAAGCTGTCACCCTGGGTAGAGTGTTGTGCTGTCACAGCTCACAGCAACCTCAACCTCTTGGGCTTACTCCATTCACTTGCCTCAGCCTCCCAAGTAGTTGGGACTACAGGCACCCGCCACAAACCCTGCCCGGCTATTTAGCTCGCCCAGGCCAGGTTTGAACCTGCCAGCCTCAGTGTACATGGCTGTGTCCTACCCACTGAGCTACGGGTACTATCCCAGAATTTAACCTTTTAAACCATTTCCAGTCTTTTGGATCCATGTTTACATATGGATCTTTTTCTGTTAAAAAAAAGAAGTAACATTGGCTGGAGTTTAAATGAATTTTTAAAATGTCTTTAGTTAATTAATCATTAAGTCAATTTTAAAATGACTTTAGTTAATTTCCTGTTCCCAACACCAGCCAAGAAAATGAGCCGACTGCAGCGCAGGGCAGCCCCATGTGACAGTCATGAGCGGGGTTCAGGGGACAGCTGGGATAGGTTCTGGAAGAGCAGCAGTCATCTGCTCATCTGGAAATTTCATGGAGAAATTTGCACTCATATCCCATCCGTAGGGATTCTACATTATTTTTTCCTGGTGCTGGTCAGCTGAGAGACGAAGTGTGCACATTTTAGCAAACCCTGGGAGGGACAAAGACCTGAGATTTCTTTTTCCATTCAGGGCGTGGCAGTGAGCTCTCTTTTGACAATTTACTGATATTCCTCCAGATTCCTGGGGGGAGATGACTTAGTATATCCTCAATCAGAATACCTACTTAGATTGTTTGTGTGTGTCCGTAAAATAAGCCCCAAGGGCAGATGTTGCCGATTCCTGGACATTGACAGAAATCAATTCTCTTTATTTTTTTCTCTTATTTTTTCTCCTTTTCCCTTCTTTCCTTTATTAGTGAAATGCAAACTAAACTTTAAAAAAATCATAGGTGCTATTTTTTTAAAATATGTATTTTTCTTTCAAGAGAATTTGTGTGGTCTTTGTTGGTTTCTTGTCTCTGGTCCTCCCTCCTCCAAATCTTACCCCCGTGCTACTAAACAAGACAGGGCACTTCTGAGTAACAGGGTGAACTGGCACAGCTCAGCTTCCCACTGGTCTGAGCAGGTCCAGATAAGGAGGGAGACACCACAGCCTTGTTTCAGGCCTCTCCTGGCATCTGCAGTTCCTATTCTCCCTCTGCAACCCCTTTCTTGCTAGCACTGTGCAAGCACAGTTAGGTTACAGCAGGCTAAAAACATGACTGGGAAACGCACCTGTGCAATGAACCGTGGCGCCCGATCTGTGGTCAGCTGGCTGCCGCCCTTCCCTCTCCCTGGCCAGTGTTCAGAATGCTCTGCTAATGCGGATTATCTGTGTTGATGGCAGGATAAGGAAAATTGGGGTTAATTAAACTGATTATTTCAGAGCCACTTACAAAACCTTTAATTGGAGTTTCTTTAGATATTAATTGAGAATAAAAGTTTCATTTTTTAGCATTAGTGCCTCTTCCTCTCACCTCTGCCAGCTGCAGAAGATTGAAGGGTGGGAGGGAGGGGGGTCAGCCGAGGCGGTGGGCAGTCCCTGACTCAGAGGGCAGAGTCGGCTCTGGGGTGGTGGCATTTGTGGAGATTCTGGTGAACAATCGTGAGCAACAAGGTCCTGGGTTTTTCTTGTCACTACCTTCATTGATATTGATATTCTAGCCCAATTAAAATGCTTCAGGGTCCCAGTTGGGGGCATGGCCATGGGAGACCAAGGACCCCCTGTGTTGGGGTTGGCACAGCTCTGAAAACACCGAATGACAGTGTTGAATAAAGGAGAAAATAAACAAGGCCTCTGTTGCCTAAATACGTGTGCAATTAGCAGTACTGATGAGGACAGAACTGCTATGAAGCTCAGCTGCTCTGGCTCCTGGAATTCTTTTCAAAATGAATGGCTTTCAAAATTAGAATGTTTGCTGAGGGTGACAGGAGCTCTGACAGAGGGTGATGGGTACAATAAGCCTTTGCAGTTGGGGGAAAGTCCTTGTCAGCAGTTAAATAGGCCTAGCGTGCTTGGTACTCAGGATGTGTAATTTGGGTCAACCAGTGGCTTCAAAAGTAAGAGGAGTGAAGTGACCTTTTTACATCATAGCCCTTCACTAATGTCTGACTTCTTGACTTCGTGTGACCTGCGTTATGACAGAGAATAGGACACGTATTGCTATCTAAACTTTGAGCAGGGCACATTACATGTATGACTCATAAACCTCACAACTGCCCTCTGAGATAAATATTATTATTAATTGGATTTACCTATGGCACAACCAAGGGGAGCAGAGATTAAATGAACTTGCCCAAGTCTAGGACGGGAACTGAGGAGAGACAGCTCTAGAAACCTTATACTTGATTACAGGACTATATTACTTTATACTTCTTTGGGTGTATATGGTGGTGGTGGTGGGTGGAAAGGGATTATTTTTCATGTTTTCTTAGGATAATAGGGATGAGTTAAATCTTTTTTGAATCCTTAATGTATGGCAGGTGCTAGAGTGATACAAAAATAATAAAGTTTTCTCATATTCAAGGAATTTAAAATGATTTAAGGAGAGAAGGCATACATTTGAAAAGCAAATACATAGTTCAAAGGTAAAACCAAATGAATGAATGTTTTTTTCTTTTTAGTCTATGTACTAGTCCTTGTATTAAGTAAGTGTTATGGGAATTCGGAGAAGAGATAGATTTCTTCCATCAAAGATCATCTTTTTAGAGGATCTTGTCACAGACGGGGTTTTAAAGAGCAGGGCACGGAGTGTGGTCAGACAAAGAAGTCTACTCTGCATAGGGAGAGCACAAGGTTCAAGCGGTTAGACCTGGGAAAGATTCAGAATAGATGGTTAGTTGTCCAGTTATCGGTTTATCTTTTCTGAAAAAGTGAAACCTGAGGAAGGGTGGTTCCAGGTGACAGACTATGAACCTTGACGTTTAAATATCGGAAACCTGAAAATCTAGATGACACAAGACTTTATTTTTTATCTTTCTTAATAACAGTTTCTGCGTGTTAATTGTGTCCCAGGCAGAGGCCTGTTGGAAGTCTATTTGTCAAACTGGATGAATAGGAAAGATGGGGGAGACAACGCCAGGGCAGGCTCATGGGGCTCCAGTGAACAGGGGTGAAGAAGAGGAGGGCAGGATGGGTTAGCTCTGACAGGAGGAGGAGGGGAGTCTGAAGTGCCCAAACAGCTCAGGCCTCTTCTCCGTGGCCAAGAACTTGCACGGTTAGAAAGTCATAGCCTCTCTTCCCTCCATCTTCTGCAGAATAAGTTAATTTTCAGTCATTGAAAATTATTACCAATACAGAGACCCAACTACTAGGGTCATTATTTTTAAAGACAAAAATATTCAATATCCAAAACCATGTCTGACGTTTCCTGGCATATGTATTCATCCATTCAAGCAATATTTAAGCTTCTGCATGGCGCCAGGCTCTCTGCTAGGCACCAAGGAGTGACAGCAGTGAACAAAGCACAGGCCACAACTTCGAGGGGCTTGCTAGTTATGGAAGGAGACAAACAAACAAGTGATTTTAAATTGGTTTGATGAGTCTTATATTTAGTAACATGATCATCTATTCCCACTTGCTTGAGATGGTCCCAATTTGGATGGTAAATGATGTTACCCACCCAACTATAGGAAACAGTATCAGTACATAAAGTATTATGTAGGCAGAGTGTCTAATACAGTATTTGGAATGGAGTCATAGATGGCTTGATGAAAAAGAAAAGTGTCTTAGCTGATTCCTACAAGCTGAATTGGGTGAGGGATTGCAGGGAAGGAAGCAGGCATGGGGAGGTAAAAGGGTGGACATTGTGGGCAGTGTTTGCAAATTGAACAGGTGAGTGAACCAGCAAAGCACGGTAAAAGGGAAAACTCACAGAATATTTCAATTCCTAATGCTGCATCTGTAACCATTTGAAGACTATGTATAACAGTTACTCCTGGTCTTGGTGGGGAAACGTTACAAAAAATAAATTTTAAAATAAGGAAACTGAGCCAGATGTTACATATGGTGGCTTACGGCTTTAATATTAATTACACCGTGTCCGGCCCCTTCCCAAACAACCTGTGAGAGTAGGAACAGTCCTGGTTTTTAAAGCCCACCTGATTGGCCCCTTTCTTTTTACTTAGCCATATAATCATTTTTCAGTTAATCATTTTCAATTTATTTTATTTCTCCAACTTTATTGAAAGCTTCTTGACAGCAGAGACCACATCATGCTTTTGTATCTACCATTGTGTTCATAGGACTCGTGGAGATCGGGAGGTTGGTGCAGGGTGGGCAGAGGGATCCTTTTCTTCTTTTTTTCATCTTACTCCTATCACCAAACACAGTTTTTAATCAGCTTTCCGAGGCATTTTAGTTCTCTGGCTGTACATTTTTCTGTTAACGGTTAGTTTGAGCTAATTTCTGATGCATGTCTCACTTTCTTTTCATTTAGGACCTTCCGAGTTATTGGATATGGCAGACAGTGAAACGTGAGTAGTGCCCTTCTTTACATCATTTAGATTATTTTTTTCAGACCATAGCTAGGACAAGCAGGTGGTCTATAGGGACTATTGTAGGTGATTTCAGCTTCTTGATTGAAGGCTACTTTCAACTATGTTTGTAAGTAGGTAGGGCTAATCTTATCAATCAAGAATCACACAAGGCAAATCATCTTCTAGATCTTCCCACAAGGACGGAGCTTCTGCACTGTGCACTTTGCACTGCTGGGAAGTCTCAATAAATCCATTGACCTTTTTACGTATCCATTACATTTATTCTTTCTCAGCTGGGTTGTGTGGGGAAAAATAAATGAAGCCCTGCTGCCTTCAGGCGCCCTTTGCAGGTAATGACACTGCTCTGTAGTCTAGAATGGGGCGAATCACGGGCCCCCCTGGAGAACCAGGGCACAGTGACTGGTCATTTTCTGTGCTCTGTGGTTCAGGTGAGGAGCACAGGTTGAGAAAGTCATTAGCTCTGGGAAGGTGCCTAAATCCTAAAGGGATAATTTTTATTTACAACCTTCTTAGTCCTGTGGCAGCAAAGTAGCTACCACTTTCCAAATGAGAACAGAGAGAGGCCGACTCCTAGCCCTGAATGCTTCATGGGAACCACTAGAGAACCTCAGAGAGGTTTGGAAGATGATGGGGTGGAGAGGAATGAGGGGGTGAGTAGCTAAGTGGGTCAGAGCAGGAGGAGGAAGGAAGAGTGGAAGACGAGTGGGGACCAGGCTCGGAGGAATCCTCCCACCTGTACTCTGCAGGGCAGGTCCACAACCAGTCTTCCCAGTTGGCAAGCCTGAAAGGGCTGCCCTCACGCAGGTGCCTTCTCAAGAGCTGCAATTGATTTTTCATGAAACGCTTTGGCCTTGAGCAGCTTGGGGGCTCACAATGGGAGTATCTCCCTCCCCATACTGCCTGTGAGAGGTGGGGAAGTGGCCCTTTCCCTTAGCCTCTTCCCACACTGAGCAGCTGGCCTCAGGCCTGCTGCCCACTGGGGCGAGCCTTGGAGCTCCCACTCTCCCAGAGTCCGGCTGTGCCTCTCAGATACCCCACCCGCTGCCCCTCCTCCTGCCTGCCATTCAGCAGGACCCAGCGTGGGTGTTAGCCTGGTTCTCTGAAGTTGAGTTCCCAGGGAATATTCCTCTGATGGCCAAGCAGTGTCTCCCAAGCTCCAGGGGATATGTCTGAGGGGCCACGCTGTTCCCGGCCTACTTCACCTGGCGCCCTTCACACTCTGCCCAAACAGAAGCCCCAGAACATTGCGTATTGTGTTCAGACACAGTCACACCATCACTCCACTCCACGGTGTCACTGAATCAAATATTAGTAAGTAGTTAAAAAAAAAAGGACTCCTAAGTTCACTAAGCCTTGCGAACCAACATTGTTAGAAAAGAGCTTGGAGTCCGATAGTACAGTGTAAGAATATCTGAGGATATTCAGGAAGTTTAGCTGCCCCTTTGCTCACCCCTCACCCCCGAATGTACCCTGCAGCCGAGTCTCAGCAGCCTGTGGAGAAGGAAGCTCAGGAGCTCCCAGTATCAGCAGTTAGGCGGGTCTGTCTCCTTACTACCCTCCTGCTGCTTCCAGCCCCTTGACGGGTGTTTTCCCATTTCATCCTGATTTAGGGGGGAGACCGCACTGCACAAGGCCGCCTGCCAGCGGAACCGGGCTGTGTGCCAACTGCTGGTGGATGCGGGAGCATCTCTGAGAAAGACGGACTCCAAGGTAACTGGCCGCGTGAGTGCAAGCATCCTTCCAGGGGCGAGATCGCGGGTGCTGCAGCCTTGGTCTGTGCCTATGGCACAGGCACCCATTCTGCGCTTATGGAAGTGCCTGGGGCTTTGGAAAAAGGAGGGAAAAATAGAGTGCTTCATTTAGAGAAACTGCAGTTTAAATGTATACACACAAAGGGCTGGTGCGTGCTTGCCTAGGGGGCTTCAAGAACCTCTGAACACTCTGGCCCTGGGACTCTGGGCTATTCTACTGAACACTAGCAGTCAGGGGAGCTGAGGGGTCAGGACCACTTTCAAAGGCCTTGGCCTGACTGCTGGGAGGCCCTTTGGGATTTCTCCTTTAAAATCTACGATTTATGTCACCCCATATATGAGTTCAAAGTGATTACCTACTGGCTCCCAGGATGGTGAGCCCTGGCGTGGAGATGGTTATAATCTCAATGTAGTTCTTTTTTAAAATTTTTTTTAATATTTCTTACCATTTGTTTTCTTCTATTATTCCCTAAAAGTTAACCTCAGAAATGAGATAGAATGGGAATTATAGTCATTGATGGGTGCAGGAATCAAAACCAAAAGAAAGTTAAATATGGCCTTGGACCAGTAGGTGAGTCCAAATCCAAATTCTCTTTAGCTCTCCAGTCCAGTGTTGCCTGTCGGTGACTCCACTGTTCTCATTGGTGAAAGAATACCCCACTGCCTTGTGGGATGACACGTGACCGCAGCAGGAAAGTCAGTTTTCACACGGGGCTTGAATAATCTGCCATGTTGCCGCACAGTAATACCTGCAGCTTTGCGGATTGAAATGTGGCTGGTATCCTTGTAGCAAGAGTTACTCACAGGTGGATTCCAAGTGTGTGGCTATCTTAGTAAGAGGGCTGTGAGGTCAGAAACTGATAGTGCGGCATGTATGCAGACCTTGACCAGAACATGCCAACAGGCAGAGGGGAGGCCACAGTCGGAAGGCTGGGATGGGGCTGTACCTGGAGTTGTTTCAGTTTATAGACAGCACCAAGAGAAAGGGTTGAAAAGTGGACAAAGCAATTGTAGCTTGGTGGAGTTGACCTGCAGTTAGAGGGAGACAAGGAGGAAAAGAGGAGGGAAAGAAAAGAGTTGATGTGGAAGGTCAGCCCCCACAGGATCCTGATAAGCTCTGAGAGTTTTAAGCACCCAGGGTAGATACCAAGAAAGGGCCAACAGCTTAACCACGGAGCGTTGCAGAGGAGAATGTTAATATATCGGTGAGGCCTTCATTAAGCAAGTACTGAGTAAACTGGGTTTGGGCTAATGAATATAGGCACGAAACACAGGTAAATAAGGCAGATGCCTGATTGAGGCTTAAGCTCCATTAGACCTGCTTCAGAGATGAGATAGGCCCGTGTGCAGGGCAGTTTGCCCTGGGGCTTTCTCTGACTTCCAGGCCACTGGCCAGCACCCTTGCTCTCTGACAGGTGACTGTCCTTGGCTGACTCAGGTCCTGCCCAGGCATGTCCTAGTTTCTAGTGTGTCTGTTACTTGCTGGCTAACTCACTGGGTAACACAGCACTTCAGCTGTGACATTCTTCCCAGATGATATTGGTGCTAAGATGTTTTGCTGTTTAACCTGACCGAGAAACATATACTTCCTAAGCAGGATTGGTGGGGCCAGCCTGTGAGATAAGGTTTGCTTTGTGGGAGCCCCTCACACCGTATCAGGACATCTGCCTGTTTGCCACACAAAAGCCAGGATTTTCTTTGAGGTTTCTTCTTGTTTGGGGTTGCCTATATGTGTGCTTGTGTCAAAATGAGAATAACTTCATGATTTTTATGATTATAAATATAGTCCGTCCTCACGTAGAAAACTAGCAATGGAGAAAATCATATACCAAAAAAAGCAAAACCAAAAATCGCTGGAGCTAAATACCATAAAACATTTCATGATCTGTCTTCTGATGTTTCTCTCTCTGTCTCTCTTTCAACTAGGCAAAGTCGTGCCATATATTCTACTGTATAACTGAAGTTTTCACTCAACTTTATGTTCTAGAAATCAGACCATATGAAGTAATATAGCTGAGCTTCATTCTTTTTTTAAGGACCCTTTCAATTTACCATTCAGTGACTTGATGCTAGGTTAAAGTTTGATATGATACTTATGAAAAAAATGAATTTTCTCCTGAAAATTTTTGGAAAGAAGCAGTATCCTGAGTCCTGAGAATTTCTCTTATTAGAGATCAATTTCTTAGAAGCCAACTCAAAGGCCCATCTCGGCCACCTCTCTGAATATTTGGAAGTTGAGATTTCCAACCTTATTAGTAATGAAAGTGAAATAGTCTGCTAAGGCTATATACAAGTTGAATAAAAAATGGTTATAGGAGCTTTAAGCTAGTGTTGAAATCTTAAAACCAAACTAAAAAAAGTAAAATTTTAGAAAATGTCCAGAGCCCTTATTAGTTCCCTTTTATCCACTACCCCAGATACCCTGGGAGGCTACTGAGAGCAGGTGAAATTGAGGTCACTTGGATCTGCTGGGGTACCTGAGATGCAGGCTGAGAAGTGTTTGATGGTTTTTGTAAAACTTGTGTGCGTTTGCACATGGAGCTATTTCCTTGGTACAAAGATCACACCTCCACCCTTTCCTTGGAACTTAATATAACTTTTTAAATAGATAAAGCTGTATCACTGAACAAAAATGAGAAATTTTAACACCTACAAGCATTCAGAAGAATGGATGCTCCCCTCCCTTTACTGCTGACTTCTGTTCATTATTTCAAATGTATGTACAAGTGTGTGTATACACAAATGTACAAAAAGCATTAGAGTAGGCTGTAATACATTACGTGATCATTTAAAATGGTGGTGTAGAAGAATTAATGACATACAAATTTTATTTGTTAATTTTAAGCAAAATGTATAGTTTTTTTTCATGATAAAGACTGCTTTACTGGTGGCAATTAGTACAAGTCAATAAATATTGATTCCCCAAAGAAAAGCTCAGTCTATTTACTAGATTACTAGTCCAGAGAGAGCTGAATGGAAGTGAACCAAGTGATGGCTGGGTTGACTGAAGTCAGTGCTTCTTCTTGGAGAGTGAAGCCACAGTCTGCTGACATATGGCACCTGCTGCTTTGCCCCCTGTGAGAGTCCTAGTGGCTCTAGACAGGAGGAAATCAGCTACCCACCCTTTACATGCACTGAAATTCCATTATCCTCTGGAAACAACCTTTGTTTCTCTGGAACTTCATTTTCAAAATGTCTGTGTGAAGCGATGCTTGGTCCTCTGTGCAATCTGATGAAGAGTCAACAGTCTCCAAAGCCTTGTGGCTCAGTTACTGGTTACTAACCGAATGCCGGAACAAAGATCCAAAATGTGGTTTTATTTTTGTGAAAATAATAACATGAAGGCAATAATGGTTATTGAGTGGAAGATGAACAGTGGTTATCTTCATTCAGTGGATCAATTGGTCATGTTTATTTTCTTCATTGTGTTTTTTAACTCTCCCAAGATTTTTTTTTTTCAGATTAATATGAGCGTGCAAATGGTTAGGATGCATCCCATCACTTTTGTATTCAGACATTAACTCACTTATTTGGAGAGATGAAGAATGAAGACTTTGAAAGCAGCAAGGAAAACCTTTCAGATTGTTTCTGATTTTCTGTTCCTTTCAGTTTCTGCTTGTGGATTCCCAGACTTTAGTACGACGGGGAAGTCCTAGACTAGAGACCCAAACTTCGGCTGCTCTATTTTTTCATTTAGTGATTTCTGTTTCCCCTTCCTCCAGAAAAGGTCTGTTTGCTCAACTCAGTAAGCCACTCTCAGACTCTGTAAACTTGTGTTTCCCCTTAGATGTAAACCCTGCCTGCCAAAAGTGATAAACTGTTTGTCTTTACTTTACCAATCTCATGTGTCTGATATAATGGATACATAAGATAATTTCAAAGCGTCCTGTGAATTCTAAAGCACCAGTGGAAGGATTCTTATTTTAGCAGGTAACCTTGGGGAGTTCTGTCGCTGTGATTTTATTTTATCTTTTTAATCTCTCACCAGGCCTTTGTATCTCTTTCCTTTTCACTATTCACCTACAGGGTAAGACACCTCAAGACAGAGCACAGCAAGCTGGGGACCCAGAATTGGCTGCTTACCTAGAAAGCCGGCAGAACTATAAGATCATTGGCCATGAGGACCTGGAAACTGCTGTTTGACCCTGCTAGACAGACAGAGAGAATGTGAGCAAGCGTATCACCTAAGCCCTCCCGGCGATCGGGCAGTTCCCCTGGAAGAGGCTGATGGAATCCATATACCTGTCTCTCTCCTGCAAGAATCTATCTGAGACCGTGCCACCAGTTTTTAAGGGCTACCATGATGTTCACCAGAACATGATAGCCCATTGAGAAAGAGGCAGGATACCTGGAGATTTGTGGAATACCGTAGGAGTTCCACAAAGTTCGATCCTTATTGCTTCCAGCAAGTAGCATGAACTTCTGTGTTCACCTGTATAATTTATTTTAAAGATTTAAAGGATGTTCGTATTAATGGCACTGCTCCCTCCTCCCCCATGCATTCATTTTTCTCTTGTACCACACAATTCTACTGTAACCCATCAACTTAAACAAATATATTATTTCTTCTCTTTATATTCAGTCTCTGGAGACCAGAAGATTATCTGAAGGTCTTCTACATCCCCCCCTGGAGGTCCTGCAGAAATCTAACTGTAAAACCACTTCCATTTCTAAGACGAAATATACCAAGACCATGTAGTGACTCTTTGCATGTCTCCACCCCCACCTTCCATTTCATTATACAGGAGCTGGGAAGTGCCACACGGATAACGTCAACTTGTGTGTTGTATCTCTGAGGTGTGGTGAGGTGGCAGGGGAGTCGTCTGTGCGTGGAGGTACCTCAGAGAGGTCACCCAGGGGTCGGCCCGGGCTGCGGGGCTGTGGTCCACAGCCTGCAGGACTGGTTCAGCTTGGGCTGTCTGGACAGCTCCGTACTGCCTACGTGTGGCCATCTTTGCCTTTTACTGCAAAAGAGATGAGCACAGAGGCCCGCGGCTAGTTCGCAGAACCACTCCATTTGAAGTGCTGTTTAAATGGAAGAGCAGAAAAGCTTAGGTGGGAGTTGTGGTTACAGGAAACGGAGCACTCTCATGTTTACTTTTAAACTTCTTTGAGTGATAACAGAAAGCAGCCTAATTGAGGTGAAAAAAAATAGCAAGAGCAAAAGTAGCAACATACGTCAACATGTCACTTAAGCAAGAAGACAGTGGCTGGGATGTTGCACAGAGGTTATTAACTTTAGACTCTTGGACACAGTAGTGGGAGGGGTCGGATTTTAAGTTTTTCTTCTCGAGGTTTGGTTTTCATTACTCCGAGTGAGCTTTGACCCAAGGTCAGAGCCTTGTTGAATAAGTTTGACTGCCAGAATTCTGGGTTGTTTGGCTCTTTCTGATGGAGGCTTCACCCATTGCTTGTCAGGTCCCAAGGTCTTACTTGATAATCTTATTTTACATGTGTGCAGTAGTCTAATATATTATTTGCCCTACTTTATTTTCCCCTATCAAAAGTTCTTAGGGCAAACCACTGTGGGAATCTAGCCAGAAATGTCTGTCTACTCATGGAATTGCTACATTTATCTCTGCCCCAGACTAGATGGTACTTACTGGTAACTACCTTAGGGACTCTGTGATAACCAAACTATCAGAAGAAAAAAGTTTTCTAATTTTTTGTTCAAATATCTGTTTGACTTGAGTATAAGCAAAAAATAAAAGTGGGTGTCCAAGGGTTTTGATTTTGGCTGAATCTGATGTCTCCCGAGCTTATTTCCATTTCCCTCTTGGACATAGCAAAGTCACTTTCAACTGTTTCTGCATGTGACCACAAATGACTGTCTCTCCACACTTAATTTGAAGGTTTAGTGGTGACATTTTGCTTGTCTGAATCGCATTTTGGCCACATATCACCGTTTTGAAAGTACAGCTATGGTATACTTTGTTACACGGGAACCGTCTTTCAGTGGACAGGGGTTTTATTTCCAAAGTCTCTCCACAGTTATTTCAAATAAAATTGCTGGCATTATTTTTCAGCTGTGGGAGAAGGGCTTTGTTGTGGGCAATCTATTTCCATGTATCAGCCTCAGAAATGGAACCAGCTTTTGGATTTTACAGTGGGGCAAGTAGGGGCTACAGTAGATTGTTTCCAGAAACTGGAAAAATGATGTTCCAGGAGAATTGAATTGCTGGGCTTCTGCTGGGAGGGTTTTTTTTTTTCCTTTCAGTTGATGGGACTGTCGAGGCAATGTCATGATGATAGAAATATAATTCTTAAAACAGACTGGATTCTGGCTTCAAATCATACCTTCCATTCCCTCAATTGAGCCAAACAATTAGCCAAGCAGCCAGTTACCCAGCTGCTACTGCTGGGGTGAAGGACTCTGTTTCCATCAACCACCATCTCACATCTCTCTGTGAACACTTCCAAGCAGCCCAGAGAAAATGTAGGGTATAGGTGGCTATGAGCCAATTCAAATACTCCAGTGGGAGACACGGATAAATCCCTGCTATGAAAAATGATGAGGTACTGACTACTACAGGGGTCCTGGTGCATTTGGAAGTTATGCCAAAATTTTTAAAAGTCATTAGAGTCCTACTTTATTGATGAGGAGCCATATGTAATATATCTTGGAAAAACCAAAGACCTCTAGAACTTTTATGCTTTCAAAAAAAAAGAGCAGAACAATCACATATTTAATGGTTTCAATATTAAATCACCTACTGTAGCATTTTTTTTTTTTAACAGAATACAGTATGTGACAGTCCCTGGCTTTAGAAAGAACTAAGGTCATATGCTTCTCAGTTTAAGTATTTTTTATCCTTTTTAAGAGGCAAATATAGAAGTCAGAAGCAAATGGTCTGGTCCTGGTCTGAAAACCCATGTAACTTCAATAGACATAAACATGTGTACCTATAGAAATGTCATTTCTACAGAGCCTCCTGGGGCAGTGTCCAAGGGACAGCTGGTTTAGCTGGCTCCACAGGGTTCTCAGCCCCCCATGTTGCCAGCGTTCTCCTCTGGGGTCCCCTTTATAGATTAGGCTGATAGATAAAGAATGAGGAGTTCTTAAAAGATAGCATTCTATAACTTTAAAGGTAGTCATTTTTGCAACCTTCTATTCCAGTGTTGCACAGTGAATGAAATAGGACAGTTCATCTCTGCTTTAGCACATGAGGACTTGATAAAGAAGAGGAGTGAGAATCAGTAAACGCATGCGGAAATAAACACCACCAGAAATCTCGCTTTGAGAGTTCATGTTTCCTCTATAGAGGTGTGATATCCCCAAACCAGCACAAGTTGTGAAACAGAATTGCCTGCAGATGCCCAGCCATGCCATCAGTGAGGACACACACACACCCTGTGCTCCCTATCCGCTTGGGCAGCTCAGTCTGCGCTAGGAGATAATCATAGCTCATCCTCTTTGGACCTAGCGACAGTCCCTTTGCCTAAAGGATTTTGGAAATGTATTTACTAGAATTCGCATAATATTCACGTCTTGGAAAACGTAATACAGCAGTTTCATTTTATTACATGCCAATTTTATTAACATCTAGATTTTGTTTATAAAAGTGGTGCGTACATGATGTCAACTGTTTTGATACTACAGATAAGTATCACATCAGAGTCCAGGCATTCTGTGCTGCTGTCTGTGCTGATAAGCCCTTTGATGCCGGTCAACACTGTTGCTTGTCTGTTATGTCAGAAATGCTACTTCACACGCAGGCCCATGTGCATGTGTGTACACACATTCACACACGTCTGGAGAACTTGATTTGTATACAGGATGTGTGTATCCACTGTACAGACACATATTGCATAGGTTTAGAAAAGAGAAAACATTTTAAAAGAGTGCTGATCAACAGGGAAAGATAGAAAGGTGGCAGAGAATTTTCACTCACTTTTCCTTCCATTATTGCTAAGCTTATTTCACTGCATCATTGCAATAGCTCATACGGCCTTGGCTGTGGGCTGTGTCATAAACCCCAGGTCCTCTCGTTCTTGTGCTTATCTTTGATGCCTTCCATGAAGCAGGAACCTATCTTGGCCCCCACGCTGTGCTCTTTCTAGATTTCAAGTAAAGGAAGGTTCTTCCTTCTTTGATGCTCACACCACATTTCAAGGCTGAGTTTACAAAACTAACACTCAGTAGGTTGTTTAATGGACCTAATCAGGGAAAGCAAGTGCAGGGGTGTGGAGGAACCTGGACGCCGGGGCGCACAGGCTGAAGCCGCTGCCTTCCGGTCGGAGCAGCTAATGGGATCACTGAGAACAGCGTGCGATCTTGTTCAATTATTCCATTTAAAAATAAAAATAGGATTTTGTTAAAATGGCTCCTCTTAACCACCAAATAAAACTACTAATTGCTGTCCTTAAATGGATTCTGTTAATTTTAGGGAAAACAGTAGAACAACATTTATTAAATTCGCTTTCTCTTACATTTATTTAGCATAAAATTGCTTCTGCCCACATTGTAATAGAATTTCTCAGTTCTTCTCCCCCTGAGTTCCATACTTAGCTGATTACAAGTCCCGCAGTCCTTTCTTGGTCAAGCTGCTCAGGCTGACTTGCACCCCCCTCCACTCATATTCCTCATCTCTTGTCCTCTAATTTTCTGGCCGCAGCCACAGTTCTGCACTCAGGTTTTCTGTCACTAGTGTCTCTAATTTTGTCATACTGTTAACAAATTCTGTCCCAGATATTGTGCCTGAAATGGATCAAAATGAAATTACCTTTTGGGGCAAATACCCATTTTGCCCATAGGACAAAGAAATGTCCTCTGATCTCAATCATCTTATGGGATTATGACAAACATAATTCTGAAAGATAGTCTATCAGGTTTAGCAAATGTCTGTCTTTGTCACATCAGAGTACACGATCACCGCGGCTGCCTCTGCATCTGTGTAGGGAACATGCCCCTTAACATGCCCTGGAGGACTGATTGTATATGTTTCCTACTCAGGAGGGTCGTCTGTGGATTTCAGGCTGTCTCCCCAGACTCTATGAGAACTCCAAACCTAAGTAAGATGCAGGACCCATGGACCTGTCCTCCCGGGACACTGAGATTCACTGAACTGGTGCGAAAAGGAAGGCAGAAAAAATAACTTTTAGACCTTTGAAACATTTGAATATTGGATAGTGTCGGCATGATGGACAGGTTCCAAAGTTGATTTATATGTTCAGTCATTATGTGTACAGTCATACGTTCAGGAGTTGATCATACATGCATCTATTTAATCATGTATTTGAAAAATCCCTTTATTTGAAAAATACTGATCACTTTGCTGCAGGCACCATGCTAAGGACGTGATAATGAATGCGAGAGATGGAACTCTTAACTACATGGAACTGGCATCTGGGAGAAAAGATTAATTCCATGATAAGTTCTGTGCAGGAGAATCCAGGGTACCCAGCATGTGTCGTACCAGCCTCTCTTTAGCCAGGATTTTAGTCCTATGAAAACAGATGTTAACTAAGGAAAAACAATGATAGTTTGAATTTCCACATCCTTAAAGTCTTCATGGCATTCTTTAAAAATGTATTTAAAGAGAAGACTTAGAAATGCTACTAAGTGAGGGTTAGGCCTTATTTATTACAGCTCAGAAAAGGAGGACAGAACTAGGAATAATAAACATGATTTGCAATGGGCTTTGACCAAATATAAAGAAAATGAGGTGTAAATATTGCCCAGCAGTGGAGTGAGTATCCTTATGGAGTTATATATTTTCAGCCCCTGGGAGCATTTAAACAGAAGGTACCTGGCAGACACCCTGTGAGGGGTGTTGTAATTAGAGCTGTGTGATTGGAGAAGGCTGGAATTCTACGATTTTTCAAAATTTTCTTTTAAAGCAGCGTTTTTGAACGGCAGCATTTTATTTTCAAAAACTCATTACAATCTTGACTTTTAACCTTCAAAACTTCACTTTGTAAGTGAGAAGCTTTAAAATCTTGATGAGAAATGGCCTTCGCTTATCACTTAAAATTTTTTTTAAAGCAATTAAGCATAAAATTAAGAGTTAGTAAAAAGAAATACTAAGAAATATAACTTAATTCAAAATACTTTTGGAAGCATTATGGGGTTTGATGAATATTCTTAGGGCTTGATAAGTACAGTCCTATTAGAAATCTGTCTTACTGTCCATCCAATATAAAAAAAAAGGACTTTGAATTGATGTACTTAAAGTTAAGCGTAATCTAAAATAACCACTGAAGAAAACTCTGCTAAAAAGACATTTTTGGAGCCAAGTAAATGTACATGAAAGGCAATCACGGAAAATTCCTTGGCTTCTGCTACCAGCACAGTAATTACGAGAGAGGATTTACCCATGGAAATTTAAAAAAAAAAGGCAAATCGTGATCCAGGTTTTCCCCCAGCTTTCAAAGATTCGATATTTTGAGCCAAATAGCACTCCGAAATGGGAGCCTTTGGTGGTTGGAAAAACTGAAACCATCTAGTTTCTCTACCATTTAGCATAATACACATAAAGCTTTCACTATATAATAGCTTAAACATACACCATTTAATAAAAACAATTTTAGTAATTTTAAAAATATTAGTGCTTAAACATTCAGATGCATTTTCTGACACTTTTGAACTTTGGCACAACCCCAGGAGGTAAATAATCCAGGTAATGTATTTTAGATGAATAAACTGAATCTCAGACCAGTGAACTAAGCTTGCAAAGATTCACACAGTAAGTGCTGGAAGTGCAGCCAGAACCGGGGTCTGCAGAAATTCAAAATCGACAAGTTTTCTAAGTAAATAATTTTCCACTGTTACCTTCAAGGACATTTACATCAATTGTTCAGATTTCCATAACATAGAAGGTTGGCACTATGAAAAAAAATATTTGCCTAAGTTCCCACAGCAAGAGTTCGTTAGAACTGAGTGAGGGGATATGAAATTAAAACTCTTTGCCATCAGTGAGAGGTTTATCTGTTTGGACATATTTCAAGGAAGAAATGTCAAGTGTTTAGATACCAGGTTGAATTTCATGAGAAGAAATTAACAGCAAGAGTTAATGCCTTTTCTATCTCATTTATGAATCTCAACATTTAAAAACTGTTAGTACTATTTGGCCTTCTTGGAAGAGACTCTTAGAATAAAATTCTTTCCAAATGCTGCACCTAGAAGTGTTGAAAATGGACCAGACTTTCAAGACTCTGTTGCTTCAGAGTTTGTGGTGGGTGTGCAAGCTAAGGGGATCGTACAGAGTCATACAGAGAGAGTCTCAGAGACCTATGGGCAATTAGGTTACTTGAAGTGGAAAGAATAAAGAGGCTTGAAATATCCTTCAGTTGTGAATCTCATATTTTACAAGGGACGTCTATGGGTAGATTGGTGACTATGTCAAAGAGGGATGTTTGATCTGGACAGAAGAAAAAATTGAATCAGGAATGAGAACGGTTGGGAGGATGTATGTTGAGGAGGACCGTAGCCTCACGTTCCCTACTGCAAATGCTTTGTAGAATAAAACAAGTGCAGAAGAGAACAGGAACAGACAGGAAACAAGGTAGCTTCACTCCTATCATAAGGGTTTATTTTTTTCCTGAATGTTGCATCCAGAAAAATCGATTAGCCTTTCCTACTGCCACGAGTGGCTCTTCTCCTATTTAAGTGAAGATTGAACAACCAGCTCAGAGGTCATAACAAAGCAAATCCTTAATTCTCCTTAATTGTGAAGAATCTTGGACTAACAAAACAAAATAAAGCAAGCAAACAAACAAAAGCTATGGTAAGTTCCGGGCTTAGATTTCTATGATTTTAGAGTGGAGCAGAACCCAGCATCCATTTTTTCCCAGGTTCTTGCCAAATAGATGACAATGGGACATTTTTGTAAAAACGATGGTCATTACAAATCTCTCTCAAACCCCTTACATCAGGGTTTTTATGGCCCTAAAAATTTGATTTGCTTATGTAGATACAACTCACGTGTGTACATGTACACACACTCACACACCACACACACACACTTGGCCAATTACTGACCATTCTTCAAATTTCCTGAAAAAGATATTTTTCTACTAAGGAAATAAGGTTAAGACATCAGAAACTAAAGTGAAAACAAAGGATCCAGTGTTCCTTTCCCCACTTACTACCCATTTGTTGTTTGAAGTATACAGTCAGGAATGGAAGTTGAAGAAGAGATTGACAATTTTTGTCTTTTCTGATAATAAACAGGCATGAGGGCACTTTCTGTAACTTTTTGTTATTACACATGACATAACCTCATATCATTAGGCTAATGTTCTTATAAAATTTCTATTTAAGAGGATTGCAGCTTTAATTGCCCATCTTCCCTTCTGCAATGATAAGGCCTGAGCACTTGCATTTTAATTTTGCTGGATGGGGAAAGAGTCACTTAAGGTGAATTTAGGAAATGAGCCCACATTCAGAGCCTTCACTCCACCTTCTCCCAGCCCCACTCCTCAATTCTGGCTTGGGAAGGAAAAAGAAAAGCAGAGATAAAAGGAAGGGAAAAAAGATTCTAAAGTGGTAAAATAATAAACTCCGGTCTCAAAGATTTTCATGGCAACTCACAAATACATGGTAAATATGATCAGCAAATATTGATCTCCTTGAAAATCAAGCTCAGAAAATATAGAAAAAGATTAAATTTATTCAGGTAGCTTCAAAGAACATTAGTTG